TTGTTGGATGTCCTCAACTCTGCCTCTGCGACCCTATGTGGCAGCATTGAACCAACCCAGCGGTTTTCCAGGCAGCAGTCATTGTGGGAGCACATTGCCAGATCTTTCTCCTGCGGAGCCACTGGGTGGGTTCAAACCACCAACCTTTCGGTGAGCAGTCAAGTGCTTCACCAGTCGTCAGGCCTGCTCCTCAAGGTTGTAGTGAACATTAAATGTACCACTGTTCATCAGAGTGTTCTTTGAGTTACTGAACACAGCACACATGTGGAATTGCTGATTAATAGTATCCACGGTTGTGCTACGCAGCTCACCTCCTCAGCCATCTCCACAGCTGAACTCTAAACCACAAGTATCGTCTTCAGCATTCTTTAACCTTCTGACTCTTAGTTTAGCTCACAAATGTGCAATCACTCATTCAGAAAACTTCAGGAGTCTCTCAGGGGCCCCAGGTGGTCCTGGGACTTCTGGGATGAGTCAGATATGGAGCAGGCTCCCAGAGGGGCTGGCTAAGCAGGAGATACAAACCACAGGGGCAATGCCTAATCAGCACCCAGAGGGCTAAAATCAAATCCTACAGGAATGAGCACTTGAAATCAGTTCCAGAAGGGTGAGTCTCTAATGAACAGTGTATATCCGACAGGAACCCTTAAGTCTCTGTGTCACTCTCTCAGTCATCAAGGTGAAGCTCCTCAGGGCTGGGAGCCGCTTCATCTTCTTAAGTAGAACCCCTGAGGGCAGGGACCTACCTCCTTCTTTACCTGGGACCATCCACTGTGCAAACCATATGATGGAATGACAAGGAAACCGGGTACAAGGAAGCTTCCCTTAGTCAGGGTCTCAGAGCTGCAAACACTTTAGCACAGCAGAGGACAAAGGTTTTCATTATCAGCTGCACCTCGGTGGACACAGCCTGAGCTTTGGAAACACGTGTAAATGTCAATGAGCACGTGAGCCTCTGGGGGGTAGACTCTACTGCACCAACACTGCGATCTCAGATGTGTAAGTAAACGTGACTGCACTTTCATTTCCTCATCTGTAAAATGGTGGCCTCTGAAGTACCTGCCTCATAGGCTTGTTTGGACCAAGGGTGATTTGAAAATTCTACCAGATCATTAACTAAAGTCTGTGTTTCTGCTTTGGAGCCCCTGGGTGGCACACATGGTTAGGCACCTGGTTGCAAAGTGAAAGGTTGGAAGGCACCTCTTCTGAAAGGCCTGGCAATTGACTTTTGAAATGTCATGGCCGTTAAACTTTATGCAGCACAGTTCTGCTGATGCGCGTGGGGTCACCGTGAGTGGGAATAAGCTGAATGGGCAAAACAGCCCTGGAGATGCAGTGGGTAAGCACTTGGCTGGTGATCCCAGTGCGCCAGCTGCTTTGTGCATGAGAGGCCCTGGTGGTCTACTCCTGTAAAGATTACACCCTGGAATTCCCTATGGGGCACTTACTTCGCTATGTCCTATGAGGTCCCTGTGAGGCTGTGTATGTAAGCAGCTCACATCATCTTTGCACTCTGTTTCATGTGAGTGAGAGGCCGGGGTCTGTGTGGCAAGGACCACTGTCCAGAGGTGCTCATGAGGAGCCTGGCAATGGGAGCTGGGGGAGGTGAAGGTGATGAGAATGATGGGAGGGGGAGATTTTCGGGGCCTGTGGTACACCATCAGCCACCAGGTGGCAGCAGGGGCAGGAGGAAGAGGCAGGGCTGCAGGAGAACTATGGCAACCCCAGCAATGGCAGCTCTTGAGGTGGTTTGTTTTTGGGAGCTAGGAGTTTCGGCCTCCTATCACTATCATAAATGGCACTGTGGTGTCTCCCAGGATCTTAGACTGAAAAGGCTCTTCCCTGTGGTTGTTGTTGTTGTTGTTATGTGCCGTCGAGTCAGCCCTGACTCGTAGCGACCCCTCCTTGGGTTTCCAAGGCAGTATCACTACGGAAGTAGGATTGCCCAACCTTCCTTCCGAGGAGTGGCTGGTGGGTTTGAACCGCCAGCCGTCTGGTTAGCAGTCAAGTGCCTTAGCCACTATGCTATAAAGTGGCCCCTGCCTCATTTCCTGCTGTGACACAGTAGGGGGATTACTCCTGGCCTCCATGGCAGAAACGGTCAGGCCCCACTGCCAGTCCCACAGCTGGCCTTGGCCTCTGAGGCTGCCTTCCGTGCCCTGGATGTGGTGCCCACTCCAAGCTTCTCACCTGCCACCCAGCACCCACCTCGTCTGACCCCAGATGTCCCACAGCCTCATGGAGTGCCTCTAGGCCTGGGCTCAGAGTCCAAAACCCCACCCCCAGAACTGCACCCTCAGCCTCTAGCTCCCGTGTTATACAGACCCTGGAGTGAACCTCCCACACTCACCCGCTCACGCCCACCCCAGATCCTCAAGCCTACCCACTGACCTCGAGGCCACCCCCAATCCAACCCTAAGCTCATCTTCACCCACTGACCACCACACAGGGAGGGCCTGGGAAGCCGGGGGTGAGGACAGTGCCCTTGGCTGCCTCACCTGTCCTCACCTGCAGGTGCTGGAGGGTGGAGTGGGGTGGGGCAGGGCGACCAGCCAACCGGGACAGGTGCCACCTGCTGAGGCATAAAACCCTGGATCCCAGGTGAGGTAGCTCCATAGCCACCGCCTCCCACCATGAAGGTCAGCACTGCCTTCCTGCTGGCAGCCCTCACCTTGATCTGCGTCTGCGGTGAGTCTGTGCCACGGTGGGCAGACACGGTGCTTCCAGCACATTCCATGTATGTGGAAAGGGGGCTGGGAAGCTGGAAGCCAGGTGTCAGGCACCCTTGGTTTTCCACAACACCTTGCCATCCCATCAGAGACTGAGCACAGACACACCGTTGTCCTGGGCCCAGGGTCTCTGCCAACCCAGTCCACACCTGGACAGCACTGACCAGCCCCAGCCCAGCCTAACAATGCCCTCCAGTTCCAGGTCAGACCACCTGGGTCAGGAGAGATTCCAGATTCAGCCATGCCTCGACTTTCCTTCCCCAGCTACTTCAGGGGCCCAGGAGGGGAAGGGGATGGGGAGAGGTCTGTGGGCAGGTGAGATGAATCAGGGGGGACATCCAGTTGAGGAAAGGTGGGTATTGTGGGGGAGGTCGGGAGACCACTGAGGTTGCAGCACCAGGACCAGTCGGGGTCTTTGGCATCTCTCACCCGTGACAGGGCTGGCCGAAGGGGAGGACAACAATGAATTTTTTATGGACTTCCTACAAACACTGCTGGTGGGGTCCCCAGAGGAGCTCTACGAGGGGCCTCTGGGCAAGTATGACGTCAATGAGGATGCCAAGGCAGCGCTGGGCGAGCTCAAGTCCTGTATTGATGGTCTGCAGCCTGTGCACAAGGCAGAGCTGGTCAAGCTACTGGTGAGGCTGGGGTCCTGCCACCTTGTCCCCCGAGGGTCTGCCCCTGTACCCCCACAGCCCCCCAGACCTTGAACTGCCCCAGCCAGCAGAGGAGGACATGCAAGACCTCACGGTCCCACAGAGCACTCTTCATCCTGTCGAGCCCAGACCCATTACTCTTGCAGCCGTAGGCCCCACATATAAACACTGGCATGTGTGCTCACACACACACAACAGAGATACATGCATGTGTACACACACGTGCACACATTTGCACAAACACACACACACCACTTCTCCAGATGGCTGGCAGGGTACTGTCTGGAAGGTGTCTGGAAGGTATGTTCCCTAGCATGGCTCTGTTACTGGTCACCAGGTAACAGACACGTCTCCATTCTAGGTTCAAGTGCTGGGCAGTGAAGATGGCGCCTGAGCAGACGGCCAACAGCCCCAAGCAGCCGCAGCCACAGCCACACAGCCCTGACCCCCTCCCCTCATGCAAATATGTCCTCAAGTTGCTTCATCAATAAAACCTCCCACAGCTCAGGCTCTGGCTCCATCTCTCCCCCTCGGGAGTCACCCACGTGAGCAGACTCACAAACAGAAGGTCACATGCACAGGTGCACAGCGGGCTGGGCAGATGAGCAGGCCAGCAAGGCCACCACTGGGGGGCAGGAGCGGGGTACAGAGAACCCCAGTGAGCAGAGTCATCTGCAGATAGGCCATGCCCCATTTGCCCGTGAGTAGCATCACTGTTACTACAGATGAGAGCACAATAAATTCACACAGTGACCAGGTCCACACCAAGGCTGGGAGCGAGCCACTACCCAAAGCCCCCAGGAGAGAGTCTGGCAAAAGAGCTACCAACAGGGAGGACCTCTGAGGAGTGCTCAGCTGGTTGAGGGAGGGGAGCAGGGTTGAAAAGGAACCCAAGCTGGGTCTTGCATGGTCAGCACCTCCTACCTGTTCCTGCCCCTTAACAAGCAGCTCAGACCCTGGCCATGAAGGCTCTCTGGAGGAGGTGCTGAGGACCCTGGGCTCTGGGTGCCACCCTCACTGTCCTGTTCCAGCCCCTTTTCTCACGCACCACAGAGGAGCTGGGAAGGCCTGGAGCACAGGTGGCTGGAGCCTTCCTAGAGGCCCATGGCCCTGCAGCCATTGTCCTGTCACAGACACGGAGATCTAGAACTTGTACCCAAAGAGCCCATTCTAGAGCTCGGTGGTCCTTCCCAGTTCTTGCAGCTGGGGAAAGAGAGAATCCCTCCCCTCCATGCTCCTGGTGTGGGTACCAAGGTCAGGGGGTCAGGACCCCCACTAAGCCTAGGTTGCTCTGTTTGGAGAGGTGAGGCCCCCGCTGCTATGAAGCCCCAGGGGCCCCTCCCTTAGCCTCCTGGAGCTCCTGAAGGGAGTAAACACATCTGGGCAGTACGTGGTGGTCTGAGCTCCTCATTTCAGCCTCGCTGTGCCAAGAACCAACTCCCACTGCTCCCCATCTCCGGCTGAGGGGTAAGGCCAGGTGGCGAGGGGAGCTGAACGAGCACCAAGTGAGCTGCTGCCTCTCCTCAGACAGAGCCGGCCATGGCAGAGGAGGTATGGGTGGGCACCTGGCGGCCCCACCGCCCCCGGGGGCCCATCATGGCCCTCTACAGCGGTCCTGGACCCAAGTACCTGATCCCACCAACCACGGGTAGGAGCCTGCGGGCTAAGAGGGGGCCAGTGAGGGGTGGGAGGCTAGGGGGAGCTGGGGAAGTCTTGGGGGTGAGTGGGGAGAAGGGGGGACAGACCATGGAGGACGGGTGAGGAGTGAGGAGGGTAGGGAGGGGAGACACCTGTCGGCTCTGGGCTGAGGCTGCCACCTCACAGGCTTCATGAAGCATACCCCCACCAAGCTGCGTGCGCCGGCCTACAGCTTCCGGGGGGCTCCCATGCTCCTGGCAGAGAACTGCTCCCCAGGGCCCCGCTACAGCGTGAACCCCAAGATACTGAGGACGGGCAAGGACATTGGCCCCGCCTACTCCATCCTGGGGCGCTACCACACCAAGACCACACTGACTCCAGGCCCTGGTGAGCCTGGCAGGAGGTGGCCCAGCCTCAACCTGTCCCAGTCCCTCTTGGGGCCTCAGAGATACCTGGGGCCTCCTTCCCCACCTGTTCAGGCACCCTCTCCTTCTTTGGACTACTGCTCTGCCCTCTGCCCTGAGTCCATGCCCATCACCTCTGCACTGGGCCTGGACGCCCACCTGGAGTGTCAGGTGTCCACCCCCCGTCTGCCCCCACCTAGCACCTCTGACACCCGTGCTTCCCCCAGGCGATTACTTCCCAGAGAAATCCACCAAGTACGTGTTTGACTCAGCGCCCAGCCATTCCATCTCAGCCCGGACCAAGACATTCCGGGTGGACAGCACCCCAGGTGCCTGCTTCAGTCCTCTGGTGCTGGGCCTCTGTCGTCAGGGGCGCTCAGGGAGAGACCTTTGGAGACATGGTGGGGCAGTCACTAGTGGTGGGGGCAGGGAGGGACCAGCAGAGGGGGGCTGTGGCCCAAGGCTGGTGCTGCTGGCTGAGGACTGCTCTGTCCACCAGGCCCTGCAGCATACGTGCTGCCTGTGGAGATGGGGGCACGCACGGTGGGTAAGACCTCCCAGCCCTCCTTCTCCATCAAGGGCCGCAGCAAGCTGGGCAGCTTCAGGGACGACCTGCACAAGGCGAGTGTCATGGGGGAGGGGGAGGGTTAGGGTTGACACTGCCTGTCTCCAGATAGCCATTGCCCAGTGCTCCCACAGCCAGGAAGCCTGAGGGTGAGGTGGGATCTCTCTGGGCCCATCCCCCTCTCCCGAAGCGCCCCCCTTCTGCCCCCTCAGGTTCCTGAGGACGCCTAGGCCCCCCTCAGATTCCTAGGCTCCCTCAGACCTTCTCAGTATGCCAAGGACTCCTCAGCTCCCTCAGTCCCCCTCATACCCCTTGGCCCCTCAACCTCCCAGTACCCGCCATGTGCCAGCACCAACTCGAGCTGGGGGTTCACAGTAAGCAAAGCCCCTGCCCTACTGAAAGCTCTGTCCAGGTAAGGAGAAAGCAACAGGTTGACCACAGAGGCAGAGGGACCCAATGCCAATGAGGGGGGTGGTGACCCCTGAGGAGAATGCTGGTTGGGAACAGGGTGGCCCTGGAAGGAAGAGCAACTGAGAAGAGACAGGTATGACCCTACAAGGCGAGGGCAGGAGTGATGAGACATAGGCTTAGGTTCCTTGAGGAGGGACGTGTCCTATACGTTCCCCACCCCAGGAGAAGAACAGTTTCAGGGTGGGCACACTCTGGGGGTCAGGACCCACTCTGGGAGTCTTTGCCAGAGTGGGCCACAAGCAGTCTGGTGATGTTGCAGACCCCTGCCTCCCAGCAGGGTGGGAGCGCCTGCCATTGGCATCAGCCTACAAGGGCACCTCATAGACCAGGGCCTGGCATCCACAGTCTAAGCTGCCCTCCCCACTAGACCCCAGGTCCTGCTGCCTACCGCCAGACTGACGTGCAGTTGACCAAGTTGAAAGCACCACAGTACACCATGGCCGCCCGTGTGGAGCCTCCAGGGGACAAGACCCTAAAGCCAGGACCAGGAGCCCATAGCCCAGAGAAGGTCTGAGACGAACATAGCTCCAAAGCAGCAGGGCAGGGGACAAGATCATAGCCAAAAGGGATGGGGGAAGGGTCACAGTCCAGAGGGGATAAGGGGTTGAGGTGAAAAAGGAGTTACAGCCTTGGAGGGGTGGTAGAAGACGTGGCCTAGAGGGACCCAGGAGACCTAGGTGGGGCCCACAGCAGAGCTTGAGCCCCATGGTTCAGTGGCCTGGGAAGTGAGGGGCAGGGAGAGGGTTGCAGAGACCCTCAGGGCCCATATGTGTCCAGCCCCAGCCCAAACCTGCCCTCCCAGTAGTCAACCACCCTAAGCGGCTGAAAGCTGGTGAGAATGGACACCTTGAGCATTCCCTGCCCACCAGGCTCTGTTCAACGTACCTGCAGGGTACTGGTTAAGGAGGGTCAGCAAGCTCCCAGACAGTGTAGGCAGGCAGGGACTCCTCTCACATCCCCATCCCCCAGGTGACGTTGACTAGGCCCTGTGCACCTGTGGTCACCTTTGGCATCAAGCACTCAGACTACATGACGCCCCTGGTGGTGGACGTGGAGTAGCCGACCCCCCAGCCTCAGCCTCATCATGTTCCCACAACAACAAATACACCTGCTGCTGCCAGGGCCCTTACCTGCCAGCTGCAGCCACCAGGCTTGTAGGCCCAGAGCATGGACAGTTGTGACCAGTTCTATTTTTTCTATACTACTTCTCCCATTTGCTAATCTTGTTTTCTGCCTTGCCCAATATTTAATAAATCACTGATCCATTAGAAATGGGTTTGTTTTGGGGGTGGATGGGGATGGGATCTGAGGGAACAGTCTAAGCAGGGGCCTCATACACTTGCCCATCGTCCTGACACTGCTGGACCCTGCCTCCCTTGCAGTGATGGCCACACTTGCACATTCACCCTCCCCACGAATCCTCTCACAAGTAACTGACATGGCTCCCACTGAAAGTCAGAGCCTGTGTCCATCCACTTGATGCAGGACTGGAGCCTGTGCCCACCCCATCAGTGAGGGCTGGAGGCCAGCTCATAGCAAGAAGGTGGCTTTTGCCTGGCCCTCTGTTTGCCTGCCTGTCTGCCTCTGAGTCTGTCTTTCTGCTTGTCCTTCTGTCACTGTCTCTCTCTCTCTCTCTGCTTGCTCTCATAGCAGCCACCATGCTGTGAGGAAGCCCAGCACACGGCAGAGCTGTGTGCAGACTCCCAGGAATGGCAGCCACGCTGGGCCCCGGCTCTCACCACCACCAACTTTCAGGAGGTTGTAGCCCCCGCCTCTGTGTCTCCAGCCTGGGCTGGAGACATCCCAGAGCAGAGCCTGCTGCCCCATCAGCCTGTCTGAAATCCCAACCACAGACTCCTTGAGACGGAATAAAGAATCTCTGCTGGTTTAAGAAACTGAAGCTTCGGTGATCTCTCTCCCTGGTGGCACAGAGCATGGAGGTGAGCAGGGGAAGTGGCCTCAGGCTGGGTCTGGGAGAGGTTCTCTGGATGGACCAGTGCAGGGTGAAAGCCAAGAGTGTTAGAGGAAGGAGCTGGGCCAGGCATGTGGCAGGCGAGGCCACTCAGACACAAGGCAGGCCTATAATCTGCAATTGGCCTCAAAGCCTTGGGGGAGGGGCAAGGAGGCTGTGAGGGCCCCAGTGGCAGCACTGTCAGGTGCACCTGTGAGGCCGTGCCCCGCAGGTGTGCAGGGCCCCGACTGTGCCAGGCTGGGTGTCACAGGGACCCACTTAAGCCTCTCAGCCTCAGAGGGGCTGCTGCCTCAGCATCTGAGTGAAGAAGCGTCAGAGGCCAAGTCATGAGCTGGTGCCACTGT